CCAAAGCCAACAAGGCAGAGATAAGGGATGGAGGCAACTACTTCATGAAAAACCCTAATCCCTCTCTAAGCCGATTCGGCATTCTAAGGCAATTTTCAAGCCGAACACTATTTTAAAATTATTTGAGTGGAATAAGGCTTGATTAATTGATTATCAAAACATTCCTTTTTGACTATTTTAGTATTTACTGAATATTTTGTTGGGCTTATTTTGCATGGTTCCTAGAAATTGGATTAAGTTGAAGTTTGGAAGTTGTAACATTTGTATAATGCATATGGCGTATGCATGGAATTTGGTTCGCTGTATTGGTTAATACGCAATATATTAGTCGGTTGATAACAATTTTTTGAAGGTCCGACACAATTACACACTGATATTTGCTCAAATCCGTTATATCGGAACCGATACTACGACTGTGAACCATGGTATGAATATATCAATATACATATTTACAGGTGTGGGTTTTTGCAAATTTGGGTTCAATTTTTATTTTATTTGTTGGTTTTAATGAACTCTATTTGATGATTAATTCCTGTATAGTTTGTATGAATTTGGTGATAATTTATTTGAGTTTGAAGATTGAATATTTGGGCTCAATTTTAGTTACTACGATTTGTGATTCTAATTTGTTCTAATTGATACTTGAATATTTTTCAATACTTTTGGTGTGGAGATTTAATTGAGTTAAATGTATTGTATGCATATTGCATATACAAGCCAAGAGTTCTGCCCCGGCCAGAGATAGACCGATAGGAAATTTGATTTAATTAAGTAACTATCAATGCGAACTATTTAAAAATAATAATAATAATAAATTAAAAAATAAAATAAAATACTAACTGTGGATTTAATATGAAGTAAAAGAGAAATTTGGTAGAAAATGTATTTGAACATAAAAGTAATTTACCAAGAACTATCAATGCGAACTATTTAAAAATAATAATAATAATAAATTAAAAAAAATACTAACTGTGGATTTAATATGAAGTAAAAGAGAAATTTGGTAGAAAATGTATTTGAACATAAAAGCAATTTACCAAGACGTTGTGGCCTAATAACAATATGGGTGTATATGTGATGTGTGTTTCTTATCAATGAAAAAAGTAGAAGAAGTCATTAAGACAAACAAAATGCTTGTATGTATAACATATTTATACAAAAATATATACAATTTGTAAGTGAGGAGAAAATTTTCCTTCTAACCGTACGACGGACGCATTCGGACTATACCTGTAATACACACACAATAATAAATGATTAGATATGCCCATGATACAACGACCACAAAGAAAATTTTCTTGTAGGTAAGTGATGCCTATTTTGAGTATGAGGCACAAGTGATGGAATGGCCTTGCTCTTGACTGGACTTTACATACAATATTTTAATTGAGCTCCAACTGTGAACAAAACTTTAGTGGAGCGCCACAATGGTAAGCAATTGACTTCTCCTTCACGAAACTCTATTCCATGCACTAAAATAATCATTATCCACTTGATTCCTTTAGTAGGATTTAACTAGGAGTACACTCGGACTTAATAGGAGTGAATCCACGGACTTTTGTTCAAATTCTCCTTTTTATTTGAGAATGAGAAAGTTATATCATCCACATTTGAGAATGAAAAAGTTATATCACTTAAATATTCTTTATTTATAATTAAGGATGTATGCGGTTTAGATTAGACTAATTTGAAATTATTTTGGAATCAAACCACTCTTAATAATTTCATAAGAATTGAAACCAATCCGAATCATAAAACTAATGGAACTGAACTGATTCGAACCGTGAAAAAACGGTTTGGTTTGGCTCGATCCACGGTTTTAAGTTTTTTCTTATAATTCAATCTAATATATATATTAAATTAGAAATATATATTATATGTAATATAATTTTTTATAATATATTTTGATATATAGTTGAGTGGTTAAATGGCTAATCTTATTACTCTATAATTTATATAAAGTACAAAATATATAAATATATATACAATATATAAAAGGGTTCGATTTGATTTGGTCCTGTAGAACTTCAAATCGTAATTGAACCGTTTACAAATGGTTCCAATATTTTGGAACTGTAATCGAATCAAACTGTGAAAAAATCGAGCCAAATTTATATTTGATTTGGCCCGGTCCAATTTATCAATTCAATCGATTTTTTTATACACTCGAATTACAACTCATTCAAATTCAAATTTACTTTTAATTGACGACATCTCATTTCTCATAATCATTTATGTTTTGTGTTTTCAATTTCATATGAAGTTAAAACAATATTTTTGTTTTGCTGTGATGCTAAAAAAAAAAAAAAAAAAGGGGGACTGTTGGCAAACATTCCCTTATTTTGTGGTACACCATCACTTAAGTCTTCCAAAACAAAAATATATATATGGATTTTCTTATAAAGAATAAAGAAAATGACTATATATTGTAGAATATATAAAACAAAATTTGTTATCTTAGAGAATTATTTTGAACAAAATTTGTTATCCAAATTTGAGTGGTCCATTAACTGAGTAGTTTATAACTGGTCTTTTTAGTTTTTAAAAACTGTCAAATTGTGACTACTTCTTATATTTGTTACAAATCACTTGAATGGATGGATATTGTTTCCAAAGCTAAAAAAATTGGAAATGTGTGACTCCATTTCTAGAATTTTTGGCCATCCTTCTATTTTGGTATGTCTCATAATATATGTCTCACTCTAAAAATAAATATAATACATATTTTTTATAATATTTCCAAGTTACTCTTTTAACATTGATTTGATTAAAAAGTGCACTAATTATGAAGTACAATCTTATAGCCTTTAACAAGGATAAATTTGAAAATTTATTCTTATTAATACAATAAATAAATAAAAGTATTAAAAACCCGCAACCATAAAGATTTGAATTTTCGTAAGAGTCCAAGAATTTTGGGACAAAGAGTATCAAAATGGCCGGTTTTTTTTTAGTGACTCCAATGAATAGAGTCCAATATGCAATAAAGACTTTTTGTCAACAATAAATAAAATATACTTTAATAATGATTTAATAACCGAATTCCATGGTTACTCAATTCAATTTTACGTGAGTAAGGTAGTGGCTCTCATTTATATAATATTATCGTGACGTCATCTGATGGGACTCACCACCTCTCTCACATAAATTGAATTCGGTTACTAAATCACTACTTAATATATACTAAGATTATATTCGGCCACATGAAATTGGAGGCTTTAAATTAGAATTAGTGGAATGGGAGGAAAATAACTCAGAAATTATATTCGGGTCCAATTACATGCAACCGAACACACCTTAAGAGTAATTATACTATCCAATAGTTTAACCTGATTAATTATTCTTATAATATATCTTAAAGTAGGAGAAATTATTTAATACTATGAGAATATGGTACCTGAGGTCATCTTAGCCCGTTGAATGTGGTGGGACTCACCATCACATCCATGATCCAACGACACCCACTACTCCGACACCATACTCCAACTCCAAGGTATTTAATACTTTCTTCTTAAAGTAGACCATACTAAAGTAGATCAAATTATTGGACTGATTATTCACTTTGAAAATCATTTTTCAGCAACAAAAACCCAAGTTTATCTTTTCCCAATTAAAATTGGATCACATCAAAGACCAAACAAATATCACCAAATGGACACAGACAACGTGGACAGATATTATTGGTTGGATTTAGAGGGTACATAGAGTAAAACTGTATCTCGAAGCACTGAATAATTTTACCGGGAAAAGAAAGAAAGAAAAAAAAGTTGGTAAAGAGACGTTGGTACAGAGACAGAGAGAGAGTGGTTAGGGTTACGTGGGAAGTACCTAGAATTTGAACGGAGTGGCTTGCATTTCGTACTCTCTCTCTACTCTCTCTCTTTCTCTCTCTAAAAAATCTAGCAGAATCTATGAAACAGGTCATTGGGGAGGAGACCCCGTCAATAGCAATATTAACAAATCTATACATATCTTTAACGATATTTCTATATATCTATCTATCTCTCTCTAAATTGGGGAATTGAAGTTGTTGACATCAAATTAAGCATTGGCATAGTAGTCCTTTGCTATTGTTTTCAGTTTTGAGGCCACAATTTCAGAGGATTTTCGGTTCATATAAACCTCCATTCTTCATTCTTTCACATTGCCCTGCATTTTGTCTCTGGTAATCCCTCTCTCTCTCTGGTTTTTAGGAAACACATGATTAATTATTATTTGTGTGTGTAATATTTGTGAATTGTGATTCTTCTTCGTTTTTTTTTTTTTTTTTTTTTTTTTTTTTTTTTTTTTTTTGAATTCTTCTGCCTCACATAGCTATTGATTCTGATGTAAATATGTTGGAAATATAGAGACTAATTTTTCACCTTTACATGTGTGTGTGTGTGTGTATATATATATGCGTGTGTGTGTAGATACATAGATATACATGATTGTTGACATTGGTTGTGATATTAAGATCAATTTTCTTATACCCTTTCTGGGAAAAAAATTGATGTTACAACAAATACCATAATTTTTATATATATATATATATATACACTGTTGTATACTTCTTTTAATTGGGGCAATGCAAGGATTATGCTTATATATATTTTTACTAAATTTCTCAAATTTGAATTTTTTGCTTGGTGGTAGTAAATTTTTTTTTTTGAAAAAGAATATTTTGGATAGCTTTAATTTTTATTTATTTATTATCTATTTTGAAATTTAATGTTGAGTTAAAAAATTTAGATATATTGGGGGAATTTGAGGGACAGAAAATGCGCATTGGACTAGGAGTAGGGATATGAAAAGAATCAAATGTGTGAAATTTCTATGTAAAACAATGGATCCTGTAGCACTTTGCCCAAAATTTCGGATGGTAATGCTAAAATGTTGATTGGTAAGAACAGTGGTGTGGTTTCATGGTTCATCCATATATGTTTTCACACACACACACACACACACACACATATTGGTCAATGCTTAAATTGGAATCAAGATTGGAATGCGTGGGTTGATGGTATAGTTGGGGTTTTGGAACTTCGGCATGAGGTTCAATCATATGGCATAATATAGATCATATTATGTACTCTTTGGGGTTTTACATATTGAATTCGAGTGTTGTTCTCTTGAATATGTGCTTTCCTGAATTTTTGTTTTTTATTTTTTTTGCTAAAGGTGTAGACACTTAGCGAGGGCATAAGTTCTGACATCTGCACTTTTGCTTTCTCTCGTGAGCAAACTTGCAAACCTACAACTATGAATGACAATATGTCTGGGCCTCTTGAGCAACCCATCAAACCTGGTAAGTTTTATTTTATTTTATTTTTTTACTTTTCCGAAGTTCAGACAAACATACACCCATAATATTGTCCCTAGCAAAACTCGAACACTCAACCTCCCCTATAGGCAAGAGAGATCACATACCCATAATATTGTCCCTAGCAAGACCCGAACACTCAATCTCCCCTATAGGGAGGAGAGATCATACCATCTCGGGTAATGCCCATTGGTAAACTAATAAGTGTTGAATGGTCAAATATTTTGTATTTTCTATATTTTTGAAGATCCTTGGTTTCATTTGAGATGTTGAAGCAGGACAAGTAGTAACAATAGCGTTTAGATATTAACCAGAAAGAAAGAGGGTGATGAGAATGAGAAGATGAGATGAGGGTAAACAAAGGGGATGAGAAGACAGATGAAGGAGGTGAGAAAATAGATCGAATGATGTAGGTTAGAAAGACTAAGGGATTAAGAACAGTAAGAACAAGGAGGGAGAAGAGACGCAAAGGGAGTTCACAACTCAACAATAATATTTAATATTCTCAAAACTGCATTGTACGTTTACAAAGAAGCCTTTATATAGGCGAAACTTAAGAAAACTCTAATATATGAAAATACTAAAATAATCCTAAAATCAGAACATTGCAAAAATAAACATAATAATGTAGCCCTAAATTACAAAAATTCCTAATTCTATTTCTCTTTTCCTCTTCTCCAAAAGTAACGTTGGAACACGTGCAACTCGTGTACGAATCGCACCCCATATCCCATCAGATGTTCATACTTAAATGAGTTATTATGAGATATAGCTCCAACAATGGATTAGAACACAAGAAAAAAATGCTATTAAAAGAAAATCAAAATCAATGAATTCATGCTTCTAGAAAGGGTTTGATGCTATAATGTTTGAGAAAAAGTAATAGGTTACAAAATGTTTGGCTATGATGGATTGCAGAAACTCTATTATTGAAAAGTTGAGACCATTGAACAATTTTATTTCAAACATATTATATGTTGTCATGATTTACTTGTGATTAGCATTTTCAATCAATAGCAAGTTAATATTTCCAAATGATAGTATTAGAAAAGGCAACAACGACTGCAAGAGTTTGCTTCTTAGCTTGCTTGCTTCATTTATGGTGTGTATTAGAATCTTTATTGTCCTGCTTTGTCTACAGGTCTTGAAAGGACTGACATCGAACACTCTGAAGATGAGAGGAAGACAAGGCTTGGGTCACTTAAGAAGAAGGCAATTAGTGCCTCAAACAAGTTTAGGAATTCTTTGACAAAAAGGGGCCGGAGAAATAGTAGAGTCATGAACGTTGCGTTTGAGGATGAGCATGATGCAGAGGAAATAAAGGTGGTGGATGCATTACGTCAAGCACTTATCTTGGACGAACTATTACCTGCAAAACACGATGATTATCATATGATGCTAAGGTTACTTTCTTTTTCATGTTCTATTATTATTATTCGAAGTGATATGTCATATATCTCATGGTTAGAATGCTAAATTGGGTTGTAAATGAAAACGAGGAAGTTGTTATAAATTTAAACTTTTGATTTCATTAGAACCGAATAAGTCTTAAACCATGGAGGTATCTACTCATTATATAGGTGCAATGACCATGATAATTCTCTTACCATAATGGGGCAGCAGATAGTGAATGGTTTCAATCTTAGTGTTGAGCATTTTATTTTTACTGAGGTGATGCAGATTACTAATGTCATCTTACCAAAGGAAGTGGAGCCACTTATAGAATACAAAAACCAAGACACAATTAGGCACATGTTTTATTTATTTATTTTCTTGGATAGGCAAATAATACACACTCACCATTATTGTCTCATTGGTGACTCGAACCTTCAATTTTCCATTCAGAAGGAAGAAGTGGTACCAATTGAGCTAAGCAAAAGGATTACTTTCTCCATGGTAGTTCATTTCAATCATGCATATATGTCAATATGAGACTTATTGAAGTTGCATTAAAGTTGAGGACTTTCGATTCATTTCCTTTCTATCATACATCTATTGTTGTTTTCTCTCATTTTATTCTTTACATTTGGCACTGAGCTGAGTCTAGCAGGCAGGGCTTTTCAATAAGAAGCTGAACCTGTTCTCTGCCTCATCTGCTTGTCCTCATATTCGGCTTGTATGGTTGTCTTTCTTGGTTTACCTTCCAGAAATAGTTCATTTGCAGACCTATTTTTACCCTCACTTGTGTGCCAAACCCTGCTACTGTAGCACATCATTATAGAATTTTTTTATCAGAATTTTAGCTAAAAATACAATGATCTGGTCATATATACATATGGTATAAAATTTGTTTTTCGTAAAATGGTATTATTTTTGTTATATTAAATTTTTTATTGCAGAGAGAGTTATTAGAACTTTAGTTCAATGATTTTTCTTTGTGATGAAGTCGAAGCAGCACGTTCCTTTACAAGGGACATTTATGTTGTCATGGAATTTACAAGTAACTCTATGAAGTCGTCCATAAAACTGTACTACTGTATGTCTTTGGTTAATTTCATGTTCTTCAAATAATCTTTGGATGAATCATTAAGTGGGTGTTGTATGATTCAGGTTTTTGAAGGCCAGGAAATTCGATATCGAGAAAACGAAGCAGATGTGGACTGACATGATCAAGTGGAGGAAGGACTTTGGTGCTGATACAGTCATGGAGGTATTTATGCAAAATATCAGCTATCATTGGTTTAAAATGGCTCTTAAAACCAACCACATGAGAAGTCCTTTCATTTGACTATCCTATTGTCTCTGAATTTTCCCTTAATTTCTTTGTTTAGGAGTTTGATTTCAGGGAAAAAGATGAGGTCTTGGAATACTATCCACAAGGACATCACGGGGTTGATAAAGAAGGGCGTCCGGTTTATATTGAGAGACTTGGCAAAGTTGATCCGAACAAGCTTATGCAAGTCACGACAATGGAGCGCTACATAAAGTACCACGTATCGGAGTTTGAGAGAACCTTTGCTGTCAAATTCCCAGCCTGTTCAATTGCAGCAAAAAAGCACATTGATCAGAGCACCACCATTCTTGATGTTCAAGGAGTGGTATGTGAGGATCTTTACAAATGCTTTTAATTAACCAAACAAAAGACATACACTTCGTTTCAAATTAGCTGATCTCCAAAGTGAAATATATTTAATGTGTAGATAAATGAAAACTGCTATACTTTTAATCCTTAAAATAGATATAAAAAAGTATAAAAATATATATATATATTGAGAAGGGTTCTATTCTTGACTTTCTAGTGGCTGCAAATGTATATGCACTCAAATTTTCGTATTGTGTATATGATATATCACACAAAATTGCTATTCTATTGGAAGTTTTAGGACTACCTGTTTTTCCCCCCGAAAAAGCAAGATTGGGAGGTTTAATTTTAATTTTATTTACCAGTCTATCTTTGTTCTGGTGGCTTCGGTTCTCGACTTCTAAGCCCTAGGTCAAGGTTTCAAGACCGGTAGATCGAAAAAAGAAAAAAAATTATATTATTTTTTTAAGAGATGAATTACACCAGTATAATTGTAATCTACATGATTGATGCTTCAGGGACTGAAAAACTTCAACAAAGCTGCAAGGGAACTTATTCAGGCTCTTCAAAAGATCGATGGTGACAATTATCCTGAGGTACTATTTTATATCCGAGAACTCAAGAAAATGTTTTTGGTTATTCGACTCAGTCAGGATGATAGTATTTTTTTCTCCCCTTAATTCTCATTGAATGTTTTCTTTACTGTAGACTCTGTGCCGCATGTACATCATTAACGCGGGATCAGGTTTTAGACTCTTATGGAACACTGTCAAATCATTCCTTGACCCCAAGACCACAGCAAAAATTCATGTAAGCTATTTGATCTATACGTTCAAAGAAGTGCTTGTATATATTAATTTAAACCACTAAAGTAGTTAATGGTTCTCTATGACAGGTTCTGGGTAACAAATTTGAGAGCAAGTTGCTTGAAATAATTGATGCTAGGTAAAGTTTTTTGTTGCTTCTCATCTTCTAGTAGAACACATGGATTTTATAGTTTAAAACAGTTAAATCGGAAAATTAGTGCTAGTAAGCTTCCTGGATGAATATATCTGTGAAATGTAACAAAATATGACTTGTTCTTTTTAAACTTCATTATCGAGCCTTATAGAACCTCCCTTTTTTTTTTTTTTTTTTTTTTTTACAGTGAGCTTCCAGAATTTTTGGGTGGTAAATGTACTTGTGCAAACAAAGGTGGTTGTCTGCGTTCTGATAAGGGTCCATGGAATGATCCGGATATAATGAAGGTTAATTATCTGTTACCCCTTTTTTCAATAGTGATTCCCTTTGTTAATTCTACTAGTTATGAATTAATTTTATCACGAGGGAGTGTTAAAGTTATATTGTTAATTTGATGCAACAGATGGTTCATAATGGCGAAGCCAAATGTTCATCGAAGATGATTCCAACCATTGATGAGAAGACCATCTCTGAGGATGAGAGCGCAAACCGAATGGTGGGGTCTTTAGTCATACATTTGCATCTTCTTTTTTGTTTTATAACCTTCACACACACAAACACACACAAATGCCCACTATGAGGGTCGAACTCTCAACCTCCCCTTTATGAAATTTGCACAATTGGGCTAGACTACTAAAATTTCTGGCTTGATAAGGTTTTTCAGTCCATTTATTGTCGAATATCGACTAATTTCTCTTTATGTTATAGAGCATGAAGAAAGGCAACTCTTTCAACACGAAACCAGTTTCAGACATGGATTCTCCCACGCTTCCGCGGGAGTATATAACACATCCGCAACCACAACTCTATCCCATCCATGAAGAAGTAAGTTTTCTATGCTCCCACTGTAACTAAAAATATTGGTATGTGGACTGAGAAGTCAGATGAACCCGCTTAGAATGGCATGAGGTAGCAAATTTAGCTAATTGAGTCAGTCGAAACTGGTTGTGTGCTGCTTGATTATAATGTTAGAGAGGCAAGAAGGATGCTTATACGAGTATTCGAATTGTCTTGAAAGAGTATTGTGTTACAAATTGTCTTGGAAGGTCATTATGCATTGAGGCTTTTTTTAAAAATTGAAGGTTTTTTTTTCGAAGTTAAGCAAGCACACACACCTACAAAATACCCCTAGCGGGACTCGAACTCTCAACCTATTCTTTGGGGAGGAGGGATGAGGGATCATACCATCCGGGCTAGACACTCCGTGGTTATAGCACCTCCTATGTTACATTTTTGATCAAATTTATTCAAGCGTATCTTTGTCTAGAATTGTCATGGGCTGCAACTTTCCTAATATTAGATTCTTTCATTTCCATATTTCTTATGGTAATTGAAGTCATCTACATTCTTCTTCAGTTAAAAAAACATATATATAAAATAAAATAAAAGTAAAAAAAACATTCTTCTTCAGTAATGTTTATAATTTATTTTTTAATAATTGGTATTCAAAAATGTGGATTTTCTGGAATTTGTTGCACTTTTTACACATTATTCTTTGGATGCCTCATTTATTTATTTACAGATCTGGTAATGAAAATATCACTGTTGTTTAGCAGCTTCATTTGAATAGTACATTATTGTGTCTGTTTCCCTTTTTCTTGAGCATTTAGATATCCTCGATCTGAATTTCTAATAGAGGTAACCAATATATATATATATATATGCAGGCTTACATGAGCAAAAACGACCATGGTGCTTATGGGCATGACAAATTTGTGCCAATGGTTGACAAGGGTGTGGATGCAACTTGGCCTAAAGCTACGCAAAAAGACACATTTGCCCTTTCTAAAGGTACATAATTTGTTTTCAATATGGTTATGCTTCCCAATTTTTCAACAATCTCCAGTTAAAAGTTTGTTTTATATGATTCATAACATCATTAATATATGATCCACCAGTTCATGTGTTCGCTTCTATGAATGCAAACCATAGCACCCACCCACCCATCCACATGTTAGAGTGGCAGTTTGTGTTTCCGTGTAGTGTCATGACATGGATATCTTGTTATATGGGTCGATGCGAACACGATTATTGTTCATGTCAAGGAATCTTAACATGAACATAACACGTTGGTTAAACAAATAACACGACAAGGCCTGCGTAAACTATTTTTAATAAATGGGTCAAGACCTTACACGATATGATACATCACGATAACACAACACATTTAATTAAAATTTCATACTATTATGGTCATTTCTAATACGAACACGGCAGTTGAGTTAAACATGTCTAATCGGGTTATAAATTGGTTGGCGGGTCAAATACAAATACGACACATTTAGGGTTGTTTCCCATGTCTAATCGGGTTGTTTCTCAATCTTGCAACACTCTTTTTACCAAATATGTTTTCATCTTTTTGCTTTCAAAAATCTTGCAACAAATATTTTATTACCAAACATACTTCCGGTCACTATTGAACACACTGCACAACAAAAACGCGCTCCACAACAAAACCATTGTTTATGTTTTGGATGAAAATAGAAACGCAAAATGGAAATGGTTTCCAAGCAGGTCCATAAATAGTTTTCCTAACAATAGATGTATATGCTGGTCTTTCCATGGTTGCACAGATTGTTTCCCCATGCACGATGCTTGTAAAACTCCTCAAGGAATAAGCAATCAGATTATGGCTGGGGTGATGGCTTTTGTAATGGGCATCGTCACCATGGTTCGGTTGACTCGCAACATGCCGAGAAAGCTTACAGATGCCACCCTCTATGCCGATTCCATGTATGGTGTTGATGCCATGATCACTGTTCAAGCACATCCCTGCAAGTTACAACCACCCACCATCTCCACCGCCGAGTACTTGTCGATGATGAAGCGCATGACGGAGCTAGAGGAGAAGTTCAGCGCTCTCAGCAACAAACCCGCCACAATGCCACCTGAGCAGGAGGAAATGCTGAACAATGCTTTGAGTCGTGTTGATGCCTTGGAGCAGGAGCTCTCAGCAACCAAAAAGGTACTGATTTGGTTCTTCTAAAACCTAGTGTGGATAATAGGTGTGTGTTTGCTTTAACTTCCAATATATATATATATATATATACACACATTAAAACATATATATATATATATATAAGATAATAATAAAAACAACAATAATAATAGCAGCATAATATATTATATAAGGAGCAAATGTTGAAACAATTACATTTGGGTTATTCTTACTTGGTTTATATCAAGCTTTTGCAGATAACCCCCTAACACCACAAAATCCCCTTCAAATATTCCAAAACTACACAAATCACCCCATGTTTTTATACTGTTGAAGAAAGAAATGGGAAAGTAGTCACGTGCATTGCACGTGACAGTTAATTTTTGTCCTTATGACCATAATGCCCTCATTCCAATTCTTTTTATTATTATTATTATTATTTTTTAAATCATCGTGGGTGAAAATGTAAATCAATATGCATGTTAACGGAAAAATGACAGACCAGGGTGAATTGCAACTTTTTGATGGTTGAGAGGATTAGTTGCATCACCAGGCAAATCTGTGAAAGTTGGAGGGAGTTTTTTATGCAGTTTACCCTAAGATAAAATCAATACTTGCTGTGAATCCCTTTGCACCAATGCTCCAACTAAAATGGAATGTTAAAAAGGAAATTCTTTGCAAAACAATTTTTATTAGTTTTATAAAGTTTGTACTCTAATCTGAGCAAATAGACATATAACAATATGGAACTGCTTGAAAAAGTAATGTTTATACTCCGGGCAAGGATGACGATGAGTATGATGATTTTGCAGGCTCTTGAAGATTCCCTCATTCGACAAGGAGAACTCCTAGCCTTCATCGAGAAAAAGAAGAAGAAGAAGCAGAAGTTTTTCGCTTTTTGAATGCATAATCAATTTTGCTATTAAGGTGATCAGCAGCAGCGGATGCACGATCCTGGCAAAAATTAAAATAAAAAATAAAAATAAAAAAAATATAAAGCATTTTGCAATTGTAACAGGTAGGAGATTGTGATTTTCAGCCCCATGTGTGTTTTGTAAAGTTCTTCTGTAACACCAATTTTCAGTTCGGAGCTACTGTATAATACCCACTGTTTGCCATTATTTACACTTATATGTGTGTGTTTTGACTGTTAACGTAAGGCAAGGCCACAGGTTGTTTTCTCATGTTTTCACTCTTCAACACTGTTTTTATGCTCTTATATACTTAAATGAAGATATAATATGTTAGTCCCATTAAATTTAATATAACAAAAATTAAGTCAAGCTTTCTAGACCAAACGGCTTGAAAGACGCATCATTTTCATCTGGGTAACGTACATATTGTGTTTTAGAGTATCAAACCGATGTCTTGGATTTAGAATTGAAATAAAAATTTACAATTTTAACAAAATTTCTTAAGATTTTAACTAATTTTTTTCTAATTCACGCCAATTCAGTGCTTCCAAATATAGTAGTAATGTAACAAGATTCTATTTTAATTTTAAGGATAAATTACACTGATTTCCCCCCAAGTTTATCATAATTACACATGACATCAAACTTGAACATTTTGTTAAACTGACCTCCCCAGTAACAGATTGGGTAGGATGGACGTTATATTCTAAAGTGATTTTACCATTTTATCCCTTATATTTTATTGTTAAAAATGATAAAATATCTGAGTATATGAAATTATCATTTTACCCAAATAAAAAAACTCCCAAGGCGATTTTACTCACTTATAGGCAACATCTGTAAACGGTTTTTACAGTTTATAATAATTTGAACCTCCATAAACTACTCACGATTTTTAGAGTTTGCAGGCGACTTTACTCTCACTTATGGGCAACATTTGCTACTGTTGCCCCCTCCCAAATGTGAGATGTAGTTGTAACCGTTGCGGACGTCTTTACTCTTATGGGCATTTCAAGGGTAAATTACACTGACCTCCCCCAAGTTTGGCCTAATTACACATGACATCAAACTTAAACATTTTGTTAAAGTGACCTGCCCTTTGGACAGGATAAATTATTTATAGATAATGATGATTTGAAATTCATGACACCTTTTGAACTTTTAAATAAGGGACTAGATTTGAACATCCATACACTACAATTTTTGCTTGCGACTATACTCACTTATGGGTAGCATTTGTAAATGGTTTTTACAATTTGCTACTGATGTCACCTCCCAAATGTGAGATGCATGTGTAATTGTTGTGGACGTCTTTACTATGGGCATTTCAAGGGTAAATTACACTGACCTCCCCAAGTTTAACCTAATTACACATGATATCAAACTTAAACATTTTGTTAAAGTAACCTGCCCTTTGGACGGGATAAACTTTATATTCTAAAGTGATTTTAGCATTTTATCCCTTATATTTTATAGTTAAAAATGATAAAATGTCGGAGTATATGAAATTACCATTTTGCCCACAAAAAAACTCCAAAGTTTGAAAGAGTTGATACTCTCAAACGAGACTAAACAATGGGATAACTTTGAGATTGTGAGAGACTAGACTACGAGAAAACTTTGAGACTGAGAGAGATTATATTCCGTGAGTAATTGGGGGTACAAAAGGGTTGAAGGTGGTGAGTGATATCTATGTGTAATCCTCTATTATTTTGTTCGATTTTACAATTTAGTGGAAATTCTATACAGTCTCCCAATCTATTGGAAATCTTGTTATCCATGGATAACACCCTGATTTTGGGTGAACTATTTCCAACACTTTCATTTACGTGGGTAGTTGTTTTATTTCCAACCCTTATATATACTCTCTTTCTACAAATAACAAAACCCATTTCGATTGAGAAATGAGTTGAAGTCGGCAAAGACGGTGTTAGTCAGCAAATTTTCACTGGCTTAGAGTTTCAGCACCACTCTAGCTACTCCCGTGCGGCACGAAGACGTTGCTTCTACTCTCACAAGTACTTGGTCAGCCTAACTCCCGTGCACACCTTAGCCAACACACTCCCCTCGTGCGCTTACTAGTGTTGTAGTGGCCCTCGCCCTCTCCTCACTTGACTTGCACACTCACACACACTAAGACACTTAAGTTGGCAAGGAAAGAACACTTCTATTACTTCAAAGAATGCTTTGTACAAGGCTAGCACTCAAACTCTCTACAAGGCTCTCAAAACTCATTACAGGGCTTGATAGCTACAAAATGAAGTCCTACTCCTATTTATAGGCATCCCCATCCCTAATGGACGGCTAGGATGCATTCTAACCGACGGTGGAGATCGATTCTCTAGAATCTTCTCCCACCTTCTTCACACTTCCATACTTATTCACAAGTATCTACAACATTCTAGAACTCTCCATACTACTCCACACAATTCTGGAGAACTCTAGAATATACTACACATATCTAGAATCTTCCACACAACACTAGACAACTCCAGAAGACTCTAGAAACTTTACTCGCCATGCAGTTGCCATGCAGCTTCCTACTCAGAGTCTGCGTGTCGCCTGCGTGGCCTAACCTCCATAGGCGGGGCGTGACATTCTCCCCCACCCATTTCCGTGACACCCTCGTCACGATTTCTTCAGCTGACCCAGCCTCTCGCAGGTCGTCAGCACTTGCGTATATGTCCTTGGCCCAGACGTTCGCGCCCCCTTCGGGAGATGTGAAGTCCTCACGAGCTCCATCGTGTTGACTGCCACCTGTGGACTCTCCTTCCTGCCCACGAGCAGCACCATGCATGCAGCCTTGCTTTCCTCGCCTCCAAGTATCATCAACGCACCAAGGCATGGTAGTGGTACGGCGTTGTTCCTATCCATGAACTCCAGCCCCAGCACCATGTCGTGGTTGTCCATCTCCGCAACTTGGAAGTCGGCCTTGCCCTTCCATCCTGGCATACATAGCTCCACCTCCTTGCACACTCTACTCACGCGTGCCTCCTCGGAGTTGACGGCCTTGATCCAGCCCTCCGTCTTGCACATCTCCAAGCCAAGTCGTTGCGTCTCCTCCAGGGTAATGAAGTTGTGTGCGGCGCCCATGTCCACCAACGCTTGCACGGCTTTGCCACCAACCTGCGCATCCACATAGCGCACCCCAGCTACCTTCTTTGCCTTGCTCTTCTTCTTGGTGTCATGCGCCATGCTACTCAGCATCTGCATAGCCCCTATGCACCTGTCTTCATCGCTGCCCACATCGTCCATCTTGCCCTTGCCTTTATCCTTCACAAGGGCGCTCATGGTCTTCTTGTTGGGGCAATGTCGCAATATGTGTGGGCCATCGCACAAGTAACACTTCGGCTCCCATTTACCCTTGCTGCGGCGCTCCCCTTTGCCATTGGCCTTGGACCTCTCTCCATGGTCCTTGCCTTTGTCATGGCGTGGGCGTCTCTCCTCATCACTGTGCTCATCATCACTGGACTTGGGCGAGCCCCCTTTCTTGAAGCGCCGGTCTCCCCCACCTTTGCTGTGGTCCCTCCTGGGAGACGTGGCCCTCTTGTCATTGCGCCTAAAGTCTTCAAGGCGCTCCGCTATAGCCATTGCGGATGCCAAGTCTCTAGGCTCTTTCCTCCTAAGCTCTGTAGCCACCCAAGACTGCAACCCATCAATGAACAAGCACACGCATTGCCGCTCCGGCATCTCTGGGATCTCCAACATCAAGTTAGAGTACTCCTTCACATACTCCCTTATGTTGCCCTTCTGCTTCAGGCACCTTAGGTTGATCATGGCGAGGTCCTTGAAGCACTCGAGGTAGAACTGCCTCTTGAGCTGCTTCTTGAACTCCTCCCATGTGTCAACCGCTCTTGCGCCTCTAGCGGTGAAGCGCTGCCTCCACCATAGAGCGGCAGTGTCCATGAGGTACATGGTGCCTGTCTGCACCTTCTCCTCATCATCCTCGATCTCCATGCACTCGACGTACTGCTCCATGTGCCAGAAGAAGAAGTCAATCTGGTGCGCATTCCTCGCCCCATCATACTGCTTGGACTCTAGCACCTTCTTCTTCCTTGGCTTCACGACGACTTCACGTGCCTGGGAGAAATCCTTCTTGCACTCGGCAATCTCCACGCGCAAGTCGTCTACCCGGTCATGTAAGTCCCTTTCCTTCTCTCGTGCCTTGTTGGCAATGCCGTCAATCAGCTCATAGAGCTCCGCCATCTTTCTCTCGAGCCTGTTGAACTTAGTCTCCATATAAACCACGTGAGTGGCGAGCTTCTCCTCCAAGCTCTGCTCCAAGACGTAGACTTGGTGGTCTCCTCCGCTAGCCATGTCTACTCCACAAAGCTCCCTTGATAAACCTGCTCTGATACCAACTGTCACGGGCTTAGAGTTTCAACACCACTGTAGCTACTCCCGTGCGGCACCAAGACGTTGTTTCTACTCTCGTAAGTACTTGGTCAGCCTAACTCCCGTGCACACCTTAGCCAACACACTCCCCTCGTGCGCTTACTAGTGTTGTAGTGGCCCTTGCCCTCTCCTCACTTGGCTTGCACACTCACACACACTAAGGCACTTAAGTTGACAAGGAAAGAACACTTTCATTATTTCACAGAATGTTTTGTACAAGGCTAGCACTCAAACTCTCTACAAGGCCCTCAAAACTCATTCCAGGGCTTAATAGCTACAAAATGAAGTCCTACTCCTATTTATAGGCATCCCCATCCCTAATGGACGGCTAGGATGCATTCTAACCGGTGATGGAGATCGATTCTCTAGAATCTTCTCCCACCTTCTTCACACTTCCATACTTATCCACAAGTATCTACAACATTCTAGAACTCTCCATACTACTCCACACAATTCTGGAGAACTCTAGAATATACAACACATATCTAGAATCTTTCACACAACACTAGACAACTCCAGAAAACTCTAGAAACTTTACTCGCCATGCAGTTACCATGCAGCTTCCTACTCAGCGTCTGCGTGTCACCTGCGTGACCTAACTTCCATAGGCGAGGCGTGACAAAATGCTCTAGTTGGCAAAGACGGTGTTAATCTCCAATGCTCTAGTCGATCCTCTGTTCCGATGGAACCGTGACAACTTCTGTGAACAAGTGAAGGTAAAGTGTTATATGTAAGTTCAACACTCTTATATGACACAACACATTTTAAAAGATAATCGTGAACCCATCAAAACTCTGCAATTAAGCGTGCTAACGCGATAATCGTGAACCCATCAAAACTCTCCGCAATTAAACGTGCTAACTCTCCGCAAGTAAGCATGCTAACGCTAGAATAGTAGCAGAATGTGTGACTTCCTGAAAAATCCCTCCTAAGAAGTATGGTCCAAAGACTGAATTTCAACCAACCGCAAAACCCATATGATAAAAGTCACCCTCAAATTTATTTTTTTTCCTTTTGCATTATTATAATATATTTTTAAATGTATTTAAACTCCCATTTATTAGAAATCACTATATTGAAAACTTAATGGATGTCCCAATTCATGCTAATGACAACATATTACTAATAGGCATGTGGCCTAACGGTACCAGAATCTTACTTCCCAAAGGTAGGTCAGGGGTTCGAACCTCAGTGTAGACATATATGTATGACTACCAACTAGAAAAAAAAATGACAACATATCGGATGTCCCAATTCAATTATTACAAATCACTATATAGAAAACTTAATGAATGTCCCAATTCATTGTATATGATCAACCTAATGACAACATATTGGATGTCCCAATTCAATGATTTCATTTAAATCTTGAAAGCAAGATTTTGGGGAGTTCAAAAAGAAGTCTCGACACAATCACAAATTCTCATATGATGATGTGCAAACTCAGAATGGAACCTACCTACTTTAAGTTTCACGGCTTAGAAACGAATTTTTGAAAAAGCTTCACACGCATTTCAAACCACATTTCAGAGACCGTTTGGAGTACAATAGACTCACAACATCATTCGGGACACAAGGAACATATAGAAACGCACAATTTCTCAATAGTCCATGTATTAGATCTCGATAGAAAGTCTGGTCACATCATTATAAACAACAAATCTTTCGCATGAGTAATAGAATTCGTACATGACACTCAAGCAGCCAAAGACAACAATCAACCTCACACATCCGCACACATCTTACCAGCAAAACTTCTTTTTCTGTTTAACATGCATTGAGAAACACATCAGTCAGAAAATTCTACCGAAAAAGAAAAACAAATCTTTAAACATGGAGAGAACGCTCCAACACGCACACACATATATATAAGAGAAAGATTTACATATCAACTCACCCGAAATTTAGCTTGTTCTTGCCTGTCTATGTAAGCAAGAAGATCCTCTTGCCTCATCAAAGCCTCATGCAGAGCCTGCTCACAAAGAAGCATAATTGCAATCAAACTACATTTGCATGCATAACACATACTCGACAAATGTAAAATAATGCATCCACAATGACAACCAAAACTCAAAGGAGAGTCAACGTACATATTAATTTGAAAGTAAAATTTACAGAGAAAAGAAAGAAATTTACAGCGATCAATCAAGACTGAAAGCAATATTTATTGCATGTATATTAAGGCCAATCATAAAAGTCAAATGAACATTAAAACCCTCTCATTCCCGACAATCAACAGCTACATCTACAGGTACAGTATATTTTATATTTACATTACTTTTACAGGTTGAATAAACAGTCTCAAATATAGTACTTCGAAACTATGCAGTCATGTTTTCAGATTGTTTCACACAATACGTGACTTAAAACTAAGTGAAGGCGTGAAGCATAATAGCACTAGTATATAAAAACAAAAGAAAATAGGAGCAAATTATCCTTACTAATTAAGAATAAGAGGAGAGAATAGAAATGAAAATGCATTGCACTGCTTTTAGATCAACAACTATACGAGTGAGTTATACAGACCAAGCCAAGCCTCCACTGCATAATACTACCCGGTGGCAAGGCTCAGCAGTGACCCAATAACTTTTACGACTGCAGCAAACACAATAATATAATAGGCTATAATGTCTACCTTTTTAGTCGCAATTAACTCTGCCTCAAGGGCATCCACACGGCAAACGGCGGCATTCAGAAGTTCCGCTTTTTCACAAGGCATCTCAGATGGCCTTGCTTGAAGTATATTGACTTTTTCTTCAAGTTCACCCAGTCTTTTCATTACAGAGGAGAGCATTTCTGCCTCGGTAAATGATGGAGTTGGTGAGGGTGGCCGAAAATCCTCCTTGGGCAGCACATCAAAGGGAAGTTCAGGAATATTTTGGTCATGAACAGATGACGTCTCGGGAGATTTCTTGGTTACACGGCATGCCACTGAATGGAAGAGCGTGAAAAGGGTCATGAAGAAGGCCATAAGCACTGCCAAAATCCGAGCACGAAGCCCTTCTGGTGCCTTCTGAGTATCAGGCAGAGGAAATGTCCCTGCCATGGATTTTTTTAAATCAAAATTTTAAATCTATAATATAAAACACCAGATTAATATTATAGTGTTAAATAGGAGCAACAATACCAAAAAAAAATGTTTCAGTTTAAAGCTAACGGGTGGACAGGAAGACTCATCGCATCTTATTGCCAAGTTATGGTGTTGTCCGAAATACATATGAACATAAAGGTGTGGGTGCTCTCTAAGTAAAATAACTAAGACGAGGTTTTCATCACATAATATCCAAATTAAGCAGAAGTCTGAAGAAAGGACTATCACCCTAAAATGTCAATTTATACAAAGTCCCCACTCGACCTCGTGGGGTGGGGGGTTGAATAAGTCTTCCAAAACCCTAATGGTCAAAACTGAAATTCAAATTTTAGAACTTCTTAAAAAAAAAAAAATACACACATACACACAAATAGTAATAGAAGAGCAAATATAAAAAATAAATAAAATTAAAAAAGGGACAGAGAACAACATATAGATCTACATGGAAAACCCAGTGTGGGGGACAACCACGGAACCCTAGACCAAACATATTAAATCCACTATAAGAAATGTAACACAACCTTAGATATCATATTCTAATCCCATAAAACCACTTAAGCTACTGTAATCCAAACTTATGCAAGACGATCTATCTCAAACTCATTTTCTGTCGATCTACCGATCTGTTAAAGAAAGCAATCTCCTCTTCTTTTGTGATTCATATCTATTGCTAGCTATCCAAACAAACTTGTTTTGTTTTGTGTGTCTTGAAATATGCTCTCAAATGAACATACAACCTCAGTGAATTCACATTACAGTATGTAAACACTGAAAAAGGGGACATACCACAGCGAAGCAAGATCTGCTTACCCTTGGAGGCGTAAGGCTTTTGAAAGGATGCTTGCCTCTTCCATCCAGCATCAACAGCCTTGTCAACCATAGGAACATATTCGTCATATCCTGAGAAGCTAGCAGCATGGCTTAACTTTCCAATAACCTTAGCCTGTTTATGGATGCATCTTAATAACGCAACAGCTGCCACAATATTTTAAAAATTGTAATATATTGACATATAAATGACAAAAGTTAAAACAAACCTCTTCACGAACAGGAGTCAACCGAAGATGTGAATAACTCCTCATGGCTTTGGGGGAAGCAATATCTTCAGCTTCAGATCCTGATTCTGCAGTGGATGTATCACTGTTTTTCATCTGTTTCAAAGCAAAACAATTGTATAACAACCAAAACTGAAAATGGATAAACATGAATGCATCCAAACAAACTGAAAGTAATTGAAGAGGCCATACCATTGGATAGTGTGGCTTGGCATAAGCAACCACCTTCCCCTCACTGTTAAGAATTTTAACAACCTGTCTGGCTCGCCTTGCATCCCCATTACGAACCATCTGAAACAAAATTGCCCATATAAAGAAATTGTTCTCAATTAAAGCAAACATGAGACCTAACTTGTCAAGCGAAAAGCGCAATAAATATTTCATTGTGTTCGCATCACTTAAGATAAAACCAACAAATGTCCTAAAGCCAGTCAGAACCTTTAATATTTCTGGGTTTTTCCATGGCCCTTTATCAGAACGAAGGCACCCCCCTTGATCTGAACAGGTACAGCTGCCCCCAAGGAAATCTGGCAACTCACTGTACAAGCACCGCAAAATTCCATAAGTTTTCAGATAGATTAATGCAGTTATAAATGAGATATAAGTAAATAGCATGACAATTAAAAGGGACATTTATGATCAGACTAGTTCAGAATAAGAAATTAGAAATGCAGAAAATTACCTGGCATCAATTATTTCAAGCAACTTATTCTGGTACTTGTTTCCAAGAACCTAAGGACAATTAAAAAAATGGATATGATTAATGTCAATGGGCTTATAAAATTATAATGCAATGCTTTCAGAAGAAAAAGAGAAAAAATTCACATACATGTATCTTGGAAGTTGTTCTGGGATCTAGAAAACCCTTTACAATACTCCACACCGTCCTAAAACCAGTACCAGCATTGATGATAAACATTTGGTGGAGTGTCTGCATCATTAAGTTGATACACCAAATCAACATCAAAGCTTAAGCAAGATATCATTAATCAAGTTAAGAATGACATCTTTAATGAAGTTAAAAGAAACTAAGATTACTTCTGGGTAATTGTCACTATCAATCTTGTTGATCCTATTAATAAGGTCCCGTGCCGTCTTGGTAAAATTTTTATAACCCTGAACCAATAACAATGAAAGATATAACCAAACATAAATCAACAAAAATATACAGATTGTACCAAAATGTATACATTTAGCGTCCAGTAATTATGAAAAATAATACACAAGATAACATACAATGCCTTGGACATCTAGAATTGTCGTGCTCGAATCTATGTGTCTCTTTGCGGCGATGGTACAAGCTGGAAACTTAATTGCAAAGCTTTTCTCAAACTCCCGGACATGGTATTTTACATAGCGATCCAATGTTGTAACTTGCATAAGTTTGTTAGGATCAACTTTTCCTAATCTTTCTATGTAGACTGGTCTTCCCTCCTTGTCAATGCCATGATAACCATGGGGGTAATACTTCCAAACTTCATTCAACTCATTAAATTCAAAATCCTGATAAAAATACCACCACAGTAAGCATATTAGATTTTTCCTTTTTATTTTTATATTTATTTATTGAAAAAGAGGATGTGAAAGTTGAGATGACAAATGCCACAATGGCAAGAATTAGCTTAAACCAGGGGGCCTGAAACAGCATGGAGACCAACCAGCACAGTTAAGAAAATTATAAATTTAACTACCTCCATAATAGTGTCGGCACCAAAATCTTTCCTCCATTGAATCATATCAGCCCACATATGTTTTGCTTTTTCAATATCAAACTTCCTTGCTTTCAAGAATCTGTAAGTAATCAAATAAACTGTCACAAAAATGAATTCCATAGTGAAAGAGTGTTCCTCATCCTAACAGTAAAGATAAAAGAATACTGATCTAACACTGATTGACAAATTAATGTAGAATACTAAAATTGATCAATCAAAGTATCAAACCTATTAAGCGAAGAATAAGAAATGTTTTCACATTATCATATGTAAAAAGAGCTCAAACATAACAATCTCATTTGTAGGTGAAATCGTTCTCTGATAGTATACATTTTTTAAGAATAAAGCAATCAAGAGTAACACTCTTGACAGCATTGATGAGCCCTCTTATTTAGGTGTAGGATTGAAACTTTGACTTTGCGTTAACATATCTTAATGTCCTTCTCTATCTAGAAATATAAAATTTAGCACTTGTTTTAATAGCGTTACTTTTTATAAAAATACCACAACAAAGAAGAAAGATATTCAATGATACCAAAGAAACTCTAAATTGTACAACAAAAAAGAAAAGCTCCAGAGAAAGACAAGAAAAAACCAAGCAACATAGGAAGACAAATAATGCTAGAGGTTATGTGTGTCGGGTGCGGGTATGAATCCAAGTGCCAGACATATCAAATTCCTAAATTGAAGGACACACGGACACTGCTAAATTTTCATATTATCTAAATTCTTTATTTTATTTTAGAGTACAATGATTTATTTATGTTACATAGTGTATAATAAAGGCAATTGACTTGTTTTGAACCAATATTATGATAAAATTGAATAATTTGATATGTTTTTTAGTTCAATGTCCAACCAAAAGTGTTGTATCCCATACTCATGCCCTAGTATTGTGGGTCCAACATGGGTATTTTGCTACTTTTGAAGAGCCCATGTAACATAGGTTTAAGCAATGAGCTGCCACTGCCATGATGAGAAACCCCCAACCGGGCCAACCCTGCAACTTGAAAAGTGTGACAGTGTTCAAGTTTCCAATACAAACCTAGACAATTTTCCTTGTCAAATTCAAAGTATCTACACATAGACCAATTCAACTCAAACAGTAAACATGAAAAATACTAATATATGACGTATAACATTTATACTATATTGATAGACTATTATGTAATTGTATAGTACTGTCAGCATAGCCGATCACACATGATCAAAGGCCAATTAATTTATAATCGGATATACTGGATTCAAATCATAATTAAGTTAATGGATAAAATCCTTATAACCATAAACCCACCACTAGAACCAAAATATGATCCATTGGAAAGCCTATATTTAATGTTTCATATTGCACCAGCTGGTAAATTGTTCATTTATTCATACATGACTCCCACTACATGCAGTAGAGAGAGATCATACAATAATGAGGTAAACTGGCAGTCATTCCAGTCTGAGGACAGTGAAATGTGAACTCAGACATCATCAATGGGGCCAAATGTGCCTTATATATGGTAAGAGTTCAGGAGGATGGGCACAAGCCACCAAGCTGAAGTTGCAAACTAAATCAAATTCCTAAGCAGAAGTTGCAAAATAAACCAAATGTTTTTTTCTAAAACAACATATGTGGACATCTGTCCTGAAGTGAATAAAGTTCGGAGGCATTTCAAGCTTCAAGTGAAATCATGAACATTTTCTCCGGAACGTATCCAACATCAGACCAAGCAATAGATTGTATCATTATTGGAGCTGACTGCACATGAATCAAGGTTGATCATTAATAGACATAACAACCCATGGGCCAAATGGCGTTAGTTCCAACCAAAGGACTGTGCGCACAACCAACACAAATGAGACCTAATGGGCCATTGGTGTTTGAATGCATGTCGGTAAGAAGACATCAAGCTGTAGTTCCACAACAAATTGATATGCCCATGGAGACCACCATTAAAAGAATTTGCAGGAACAAAAAATGAAGAAATCTATCCAAACTAGGCTGAAGTAGCATGCATCCCATCATATAGATAAGGGACTCATGTAACCTCAACTTACTTTAAACTGTAACAAAAATACATATCCCTTGGCAAATACCTTAGCGGAGTAAAACATTAATGCCGCATTGAAATTGTAAGAAACATATACGCCTTCAGCCTTCTAAGGTGTGTTCAACAAAAGAAGAGAACATAAACATCTCTATTTAACTAAATGTTACCGACGACCCCTTTTTACTCATTTCATGCGTTGAATGTATGTTCCAAATAAGTGATATTCACAAGTTGAACACAATACATCTCCTAGAGACATTATTTTAATCCAGGGTACATTGTAGGAGAATTTAAACACAGTTTAACAATGACTACTAGTTTATATATCCTTACATATACACTGTTTGGTGGCTAGTGAACCTGCTGGAATAAATATTTCCAACTATATAATATATCATCCCGATTTGAACAAACCTATGAAATTGATACTGTATTGTGCCAACTAGCTTACTTAGTAAAGCCTTTTGGAAATCACATCAAAGACTTGGATCAAAATCTAGCCTACAACGAAATTGGGGGGTTTGTGGGAGATGGAAAGGCTATTCCCCATTATGTTGCCCACAACTATTGAATCAGAAAAAACAAAACATAGATATTGTAATTGTTCCCACCTCAGAAGGTTAATAAAAAGAAAATATCAAAATACCACCAACAAAAGTGAAACGCACATTTTCAATTTTCACCAATATATATATGGACATGCATATATCAGCACAAATGGCGACAGGATAGAATACCTTAACATCACATGATAGTCATCATGTTTTTCAGGTAGCAATTCATCCAATACCAGTACTTGTCGAAATGCATCAACGGCCTGTAGCTCTTCAGCATCACGAATATCCTCAATTGAGACAGAACTAACTCGACCATCACTCTTTCTTCTGCTCTTCTTCTTGAGAGAGTGTTTGAACTTGGTAGATGCATTAATTGCTTTCTTTTTCAGTGAACCAATTCTTGTCCTTCTTTCATCCTCTGAGTTTTCAAAATCAGATTTTCTTTCTCTTCTCTCATCATTACCAGAGGAACCCTCAAAGCCTATCATGTGGAAGGGGAAAAAATGCAGATGTGATAAATTAGCAATGACTTGTATGAAGCCAAAATGAAGTATAATTTCACTAAAGTACGAATTATTTCCCAACACAATAAACTATTATTTACTGTTAAACTCGAGAAAACTTCAGTCATCCCAAGTTACAAATATTTTCTTAGAAAACTGTTTCTTGGATAGTTTCTGACGATAAAGAGAATAGAGCTGCAAGGTTCCAACAATGATAAATCAGCTTAAACCTCCTGAACGATGGCTGAGGGTTTATGCATCCTGCCTAACTTCAACTATCTGACTAAGCCATATCAAACTAAGTAGAATCATTGTATGACCAACCTTCAATTGTGTTAAAAAGGGTACAACCACTACTACCTACTAGATATTGTGGAGGTAAGAAAGTTAGAGAAGCATCTATCAGAATCAGGAAAATTCAAATGCAAAATACTATATAGTCATCATCAAGTAATTTGTACATGAGATCAAAATACACTGCAAAAGATAAAACAAGTGCACAAAACTGCAAAACCATTCACTGTTTGGTTAATATAATTAACTTCATATCGCCACGTACACTGAAGCATTACCATGCAATTGCTGTAAATTCACTATTTGCCTTGCCATCTCATCAACAATAAGCCACAATAAGAAGGGAAAACCAACGCACCACGACTATCTATTGTGCATACATCACTTTACGCTGAGATAACTTAAGCAAAAACCATAACAAATATCCTATAAATGCTCAAAACATGGAAATTCTTTGTGACAAATTGCAACAGCTGTATATTCAAAAAATCCCAAAGAAAACCCTAGCTCTGTAAACTAAATAAAGCTCCATTACTTCCTACATAAAATAAATTCTTGAATTTCTGAGAGAGTTCATCGAGCACCTTCAGTCAGCTTCAAGGATGAATATTTCTCAACAAGATTAAGGGAAATAAAAAATAAAAAAATTCTTTAAGATAAATGTTCCGATTTTTCAACAAAAATAATACAAATTGCCATCTTCTCAACATGCCAGGGCCAAATTAGTATGCCAATCACTTTTTCCCAGAATTAAAATATTCAAGAACATAAACTTAGGTTCAGGCTACATCTATATCTATGTTTAGAACACGGACTTATATTTCTATAAACGAAATAAGAATATATACACATATATATAGTAAAACCCTAGATTTAGCAAACCAAACCCCATCTCACTCCATCGAGTACAAGTATAATTCGACAATAGAAAGACGTGAATCGAAGAAAAAAAAGCACTCACAAGGCCTCGCGAATCGATCCAGTGGTCCCGACATCTCTCTGTCTCGACAACTCTCCACCAAATCAAGACTCCTCCTCTCAAATTCTTGATGATCAATCAAGCATCACCGTTACAGAACTTGTGCGCTACAAAATCCTAAATTACGATCAGAAACCCTAGAAAATTGAGGCCAAATCGAAATTCAACCAGAATTCAGAAGAAAGTGTACCTCGAGAATCTACAGTATCGAATCAATTTGACGTTTGATCAAAACGGTAACAAATTGAAAGACCGAGATTGAAGCAATATTGAGCGCTATTAACGGATCGACGACCAACGGTAGACGAATCGCAGTGGAATGAATGTATTGGCAAAAATTCGATTCGAAAAATAAATTATTATATATAAATATATGTATCGGCCGAATTGGGCGCCGATGAGAGAGAGAGGAGAGGAGAGGAGAGAGAGAGAGCGGGGGAGGCGTTTTAATTGGGAGCAGCCAGATGACACGTGGCGGGAAGAGGGAGGAAAGTGTTTCGTAGTGGGAATTTGCCGGCGGTAGTTGACATGGCGTGCGATTCCCATGACGTTTTACTCCACTTAACGGGTACTAAGAGAAAAGTACTATTATCATGTTACCCTCTTACAAATGGTGATATTACTGTTTAAACTATGTGATATTACTTTTAGGCTTCTGTCATATTACTTATAAATGGTGGTAAAATGTTAATGTTACTTATAAATAGTGGTACAATTGTTACTTAAATAATGGTGATATTACTTTTTATACTCTGTGATGTTACTTATAAATGGTGGTGAAATATTACTTATAAAATGTGGTGTTATTTGAAATTAAATATTATTTATAAATGGTGGTGTTATTTGAAATTAAAAGTGGTGATGTTTCCTTTTACAAATGGTGATGTTACTTTTTAGACTACGTGAAATGTTGTGGTGTAATTGGCCAAACACAGCCTTAGTGTCCGTTAGCTAAAGAATAATATGGCCAAATATGAACCACTTAAAAGTTACCGTAAGAAATCGCATCGGAACCTCACTGCAGGTGATTCGCGCCATTGAAGTAGTGCCAAATTACAAGTAAAATACTCTTGGTTTTGGTTTCCGAATTGGGCACGTGATGCTTTTAGTTTTTCAAAATAAATTCTTTTTTATCCTTTTCTTTGTATATTTACCTATTTATCTACAAAAATGTATTTTATTAGGTTTTAAAAAGAATAAAACTATTTTTTAGAAATTCATGTTAATTATTAATTATCTATCACATCAACTCAGGAAGGTGTTCCTAGTCTATTGTATCCTTAAAGATTGGTGAAATTTAGGTAGAAAGAGAAACAAATTCTTTGACATAATACATTTGATATGTTATTAATACAAGATATAAGAAAGTAGAGGAATTGTTTTTTTATATTTGGCACGCATTGACCTATTAAAATAATTAGGTTAAAATTTTTTGCCTAACTCTCGACTTTAAAATTATTTTTTATAGTCAAATAAAAGAAGTTATATCATTTTCGTAGAAATTATCAGTCATTTAATAATTCAATTTAATTCAATTCAATTAAAATTAATATCTAAGGGTCTATTTAGAATGTGTTATAATATTATTTTTCTAACATTGATCTTTAAATTTGAGCTATCATGTTTGGGACGACATATATTGATTTGGAATAATTTACAATATATAGAATTTTTAGTTTAAAATCATATACTCAAATTGGTGATATTGTGTGTTTTGGTATTGTAGTGGAGAAACTAAATCAAATTTTTGAATTTTTCAAAACAAATTTTCGTTATCAAACATGATTGAAATTTCTATTCAAAATACTCTTACAACAAATTGCTCTTACAATAAATTATTATTTTGATATTGACTAAAAACATAATGACTCTAAAAACATATTGCATACCAAACTGCCCTAAATTTCTTTATAAAACATTGTTATTTGTTGTGACATCCAATTCTAACATGTGAGTTGAAAAAATACAATTTTTCCTTTTATATAAGATCTTATTGAATAATTGTACCAACACGGCTATTATTTTAAGCGACTTCAATAGGTATTCAACAAGTGTTCAATTAGGACTTTTGTTAGTATTTAATTAAAATAAAGTATCTCTTCTCTTAGCGAGTTAATGACTGCCTAAACAACTCACAAAATTATGTCTAATCAAATTATGTTAAATATATACATATATGGAGTAAGTCTATCATGAGGACGTTGAATCAAAATTTAATCTTTAGTAATTATTATAACAGTTAATTATTTTTTTAAATATATACATATATGGAGTAAGTCTATCATAAGGACGTTGAATCAAAATTTAATCTTTAGTAATTATTATAACAGTTAATTGTTTTTTAAAAAATAATTAATAATTTGTCATTGTTTCTTTTTAACTTTAATTAATAATTAATAATTTGTCATGAAAGCTAATTTTATTTTAACTTTAGGAATTTCATTTTGATATCCAAATTCCACACATCATCAACATTCATACAATTTTTATTTTATTATTATTATTATTTACTTAACCACTAAGGTCATTTATCATCACAAATCAACAATTATTCAGTGACTTAGTTGATAGAGCATCCAACTTTTTAAATAGGTGTGTTCGTAATTGAGTCCCCTCTCCTAATTTATCGGACTAAAAATAAATAATTAAAACATTATTAGAAACTACTAAACCACTCCGGTAAATAACATTTTTGAAAATGTTTAAATGTTTATAATGCTGATCGATTGATTTTGAAAATATGAGAATAATTAAAACACTATTAATACAACTTATTGTCCAAACAACCCATTGTAAAGCAATTGTCAGAACGAGAATGGAGCTAGGTACTGGCTTTAAAGATGCTATGACCAATTTTTTTTTTTTTTTTTTTCCTTCCTTTTCTTTTCTTTTTTCTTTTTATTTTTGACTGAAAATGACTAAAATTGCTATGGTATGATAAAGCCAGATTAAAGAGCTATGGTTGAATGATTGATTTTTCAGTCAAAAATCTTTTGGTTATTCTTTGAAAAGTAACAGCGCTCTCACTTTTCCTCCTCTATTTATTTTTTTCTTTGTGTTTTTTTACCGTGGCTTAACTTTTCTGTATCTTTAAATATATATATAGTACAAAATTAAGTTGTTTCCTAGTGAAATGAAAGTTTTGTATTTCTATATAATGTATGTTTATAATACTGAAACAAATTTTGGAATAACATAATGTTGAAGTACTTTTGCATTACTAAATTATTAAACTTCTATTAACTGGCGTCTTATTATTGTACCTATTCAAGGAAACAATAAAGAATGACAAAATACCGTTGGAATATGGTTTTAATAAATAAATAAATACTAAATGGCAAGTATTCTCTTCTTTGTGCGGCTCATGCGCCAACAGCCTAAAATCTATGCATACATCAGTTAAAACATTTAATAACTGCTTTTTAAATTTGCCGCCATGACTTGCAACAGAAAAGAAAGTTCCTCCTCTCAAAAGGGTTGTGCCAAAGAATAAGTTGAAACATTGAATAATTTGTTGCCACAATTTTCTAAATAATAATAATAATAATAATAAGGGGTGAAGTATCTATAGAGTCAAGGTAGATACCCCATTTTGGTCCTTCCGTTTTCATTTGATGTATATAAAATGACGAAAATATTCTCGGGGTTTGAATGACCAAATTACATTTTCTTGACTTTCAAAGTCATAGATCTGTTTTTATTTTTTATTTTTTTTTATTTTACCGATTTCAAAGTCATATAAAACAAGCAACAATATAAAAAACAAATCAGTACATTATCATTCCATCTTTTTCAATCATGTTGTGCTCTCAAGAAATATTCATTTCACAACTAAATATATAGAATAATAATTTCATTCTCAAGTAATTTTTTTTAAAAAAATTAAGTTCTTAAAATACCCTTATGTTCTAAGTTAAAAAATTATTACCACTGTCTTCCACCACCACCACTGTCACCTTTCACCACTGCCACCTTCACTGTTTCTGCCACCTCCATAGCCTTTCAAGTCCAAAAACCACTACCATTACCACATTACTTTCTACCACCACCTTCCACCACAACCAACGCCACCTACATTGCCTTCCGTCATTATCCCAGCTTCAGCAACCATACCGCCGCCACCACCACCGACTTCTACCACTGCCACCACTACCGCCTTCGACCATCTCCATTGTCTTCCACCACTATTATTGCCACCACCACTGTCACCATTCCCACCACCATTGCTACTGCCATGATCACCACCGCATTCCACCACTGTCACCATTCCTACCACCATTGCTACTGCCATGATCACCACCGCATTCCACCACTATCACTATTCTCACCACCATTGCTATTGCCATGATCACCACCGCATTCCACCACCGCTATAAGACAAAAGTATCTCTTTTCTTAGCAAGTTAAAGATTGCCTAAACGACTCACAAGATGGTACGGAGATATCAGAAATAATTATTTTTAATCAAACTATGTTAAATATATACAAATACTTTAATTAAATTTTTATCATTTTTTGTCTCTGATTAGATCTGACAAATTTAGCGTGAAAAATAATTTAAATGGAGTAAGTCTATCATAAACCATTAAAACAGTTAATTATTTTAAAGAAAATAATTAACAATCTGTCATGTTTCCTTCAACCAATTTCTTTTTTTTTTTAATTGACTTATGTTGCTGCAAGGTAAGTGAACCGAAAATCTTTTTCAAATCTGGTTTTTAGTTTTATTTTTAATTTTTTTAATTACTTCGAGAGCACAAAATATTCCAAAGTAAGTTTTTGAGATGAAATTGTTGAAGAATAATCTATTAAGAGGTAATTTCAATCGAAATTTTTTCTCAGATAATCACTTAAAATGATATCAGTTAAAAACACTCCCTGTGATAGTTGAGGGGTTTTTTTGCCAAAAATATTCACAAGGGGATTTTTCGCAACTAACTAATAGTCCAGGGCGTTTTTTGCCAAAAGTATTCACGGGGTTTTTCGCAACTGATTAATAGTCAAGGGGTTTTTTTTTGTAATTAAACTTTTATTTTTATTTTTTTTTCCGGCAAGAAACTCACACACCTATATACCTTTTTAATAAACTTGAACTATCAATCTTTTACTTTAAAATTTCAAATATCATGAAAGCTAATTTTATTTTAACTTTACTACGAATTTCATTCTGGTATCCAAATTCCATCATCAACATTCATAAAATTTTTATTTATTTTTATTTTATTATTATTATTATTAACTTAACCACTAAGGTTACTGATCATCACAAATCATTAACCATCCCGTGGCTTAATTGATAAAGTATCTAACTTTCTGAATGAGTGTGTTCGTGTTCGAGTCCTCATCCCTAATTTGTCACGCTAAAAATAAATAATTAAAAATACTGCTAATACAACTTATTGTCCAAACATTATAAAGCAATAGTTA